GTGGAGAGCGTCGCGTCAAGCTTGGTGGGGTGCCCAGCTTACTGATCTGCCCAGCTTACTGATCCCGCACGTTATTCCTAGAGCGATATGACGTGTTTGCAGTATGCATAGTTCTTTCTGGATATTACGGAAGCCTTTCTTGTATTATTAGTGTAGAAAATATGAAGGAAAAAAGGGAAAAATCGATAAACTGTTGCGCGAGACGTGTTCCGTCCATGTACACTACTATGAGTTGCAGCATTCTAGAAGAAGAGGAGCAAACTCCCTCATTGTCGTGACCTCCCCTTCCCACACAAAAAAACTCACCATCTTTGGTGGAAAAACAGCAAACCAAACTAAAAGTCGCCCAAGTGGCCCTTGATTAATTTGGAAAATAGGCCCGGGTCCGGGAACCTGCGCATATAAAGTATGCAATATAGATGGGGCGAATCCTTATTAAATCATCCCTAATATGTACCTGCTTCACAACCAATCGCCGTTTCGTACCTACCCGCTTTCCGACCCGGGTTTCCATCGCACCAGAGCTGCAGCGAGCGGAAACAAAGTTTCTAGAAACAATTTCGGCCGAAGGGGCGAAGCGGCGTGATGGGGTAATATGGGAGGGCAGAAAGCTTGATTGAGGGGGAGGGGTGTCTCGTGACGCTAGTTGGGGTGGGTTTGGGAGGATATGTACTTCATTTATTTTTTGAAGTTGTATAGTGCGGTTGTTTGAGGGGATACGATGGTATGATGGGGGTAGTGAGAGTGTATATAGTTTGGGTTTTTTCTCACTAGGTTCGTAATATGTGAGTAGTATTGTTAAGCTGAGCTTTTATACGTTGTCTTGGCAGATTCTCGCCCGACATGAAGATTACACATTCGAGTGCAGCAATGCTGCTGATTAGCGGCGCTGTTGCCGTTGCCCAGTGTACGTAATGTACTTTCCTGAGAACAAAGCGTGGTTTTGGGATGTCGGGAAATGGAGACATTTTGTACTAACGAGCTACGAAGCAACAAACGGTTCCACTGGAGTCCTATGCCCGTCCACCTCCAAATTTGCTCCCCTCTCCGCTGGAACATTCTTTGAAAAACTGAATCCAGGCTGGAATGTAGGGAATACCTTGGATGCTGTTGAAACAGAAGGATCCTGGAATAATCCGCCCGTAGTAGCTAGCACTTTCGACGATGTGAAGAAGGCTGGTTTTAAAAGTGTGAGAATCCCTGTCACGTGGGCCTACCACTTCACCTCGCAAGGTCCGGACTGGACGGTCGACCCAGTATGGCTTCAAAGAGTGTCAGATGTGATCGACATGGTGACTTCACGTGGCCTTTATGCCATCGTGAATGTTCACCATGACTCCTGGACTTGGGCAGACCTGACCTCAGCTAGCACCAACGTAACAGCTTTAGAGGAACGCTTCAGTAAACTCTGGCTGCAGATTGGGACCAAGCTGGCCTGCAAGAGCGAGATGCTGGCATTTGAGCCAATCAATGAGATCCCGGGGACTACACCTGAACATGGGGCAATTGTCAATCGTCTCAATGATATCTTTTTGCTGAAGATCAATGAGGCGGGGGGTCATAATTCGAAGAGAGTGGTTACATTGGTTGGAGCGGGTGAGGATGGAGTGAAGACGAGTATGTGGTTTAAGAAACCGGATCAAAAGTTCAAGAACCCCTGGGGTATTCAGTTCCATTACTACAGCCCTTACGATTACGTCTTTCAAGCATGGGGTAAGACGACATGGGGCTCCGAAGCCGACAAGGCCTCTCTCGAAGGTGATCTCGCTGCTGTACGGTCAAACTTCACGGATGTCCCAATTGTCATCGGAGAGTGGGCCGTATCACCTGTAGCTACAGAGACAGCTGCAAGATGGCGTTACTTTGATTTTTTCGTGCGTACCGCCGGAAAGTACAATATGTCGACAATTTTGTGGGACAACGGAGCGGACCTGCTCAACCGAGCAACACACCTCTGGAGGGACGAAGTGGCCATGGATATCTACCGCAATGCGATAAAAGGCATCCCAAACGCTTTGCCAGACAGTACTACAGACGGCGCTGTCACTACGCAGCAAAGTTCCGCGTACATCTACCACGCAAAGAATGAGACGGTCAAGGACGTCACACTAAGTTTCACCTTCAACGGTAATACACTGAGCAAGATCAGCAAGGGTAGCAGGCAACTTGCAAAAGGAAAAGACTACACCCTCTCAGGCCAAGAAATCACCTTCAAAGCCGCATATCTCAGCTCTATCATCACGCCCTCATCGCCAACAGGCAGCCTAACGAACCTCACTTTGACATTCAACCGTGGTGCCGCCTTACAGGTGAACGTACTCCAGTACTCTACCCCTGTGCTATCGAGCACCTCCGGCCCCCTGCCAGCCGCAGGCCAAGACCTACGCATCCCTGTCGCATGGGCTGGCATCAATAGGCCCGCTGCCGTCAAGGCGCAAAAGTCAGATGGCACATACCTCGTCGATGACTGGACCCAGTACCTCGGGCCTCTCCAGCAAGGCCGTATGACTTATGGCAATCAGTGGGACTGGGATGCTAACAATGTGATTATTAAGGCAGCGGCGGTGGACGCAGTTCGGGCTGCGAACAAGGATACAACACTAACGATTGAGTTTTATCCTAGACAGCCTGGGAACAGTGTTGTTTATACTCTTAAGGTATGAGTGGGTTGGTAGGGTGCGAGGCGGGGAGATGAAACGGGAATGTATACACAGGCTTGAGGTGCCTGGATAGACGAATAGATTGCTCATTTTATACAATTGTGATATGATGCAGCTTCGAAGTTCTTGAAATCTATTGGCACTTCAAGAAACGAATAAATTCGCTATAAGACTGGCTGCAGGTGGATGGTACTGTATACTTGGAAGACGAACGTTCAAGAGGAGAGGCTGGATTTGGAGAAACTACTGATCATACGCACAAATCGAACACATTATGCCCTAACATAAAACAAACATGCGCCCTTTTGCTCGCATGATGGGCCGACTCCACTATCTTCATGTCCACAATTGCCTTTAAATTGCCTAGCGCTCAAGTCAGCAGCCCTTTCCGAGGTGGAACTCCGCAAGCTTAGAAATGCTCACAATCCTTTGATGCTATCAAATAATGTATATAATCGACAAGTAACAACGAGCAGATTCAAATCACCAATTACCCGTTTCATTAATCAAGCCAAAAAATAAAATACATAGTCAATTGCCTTCGAAGCAAAGATGCCCAACGATCCCGTCTCGCTCGCCACTCTCTCGACACTCCCCTCCACCTACGACCCCAACAAACCAGTCTATATGCTCAACCTCTGGAAATACCGAAAAGAGGCTTCCTACCGCCCTGAGCATGCGCACCTCGCCGGTGACGCATGTTCAGGCCAAGAGGCCTTGGGACGCTACCGCGCTGCCATCGCCCCTTTACATCCACCCAACACTAGTGTCATCTTCTCCAGCACCGTGTTGGCTAAGATTCTTGTCGCAGAAAATGAAGACTGGGATTTTGTTGCAATTCTCAAGTACGAGACTCTAGAGGGGTTCAAGAAAGCCATCGGAAGTAAAGAATACAGGGAGGAGGTGGAACCGCATAGATTGGCGGGGCTGGAGGACGGGAGATTGATTGTGCTGGATAAGCTTGAGTAGAAGAGGGAAATGTAAGCTAATGAGAGCTGGTCTTGTCACATAAATTTTAGCAACGTGTCTCAAAAAAAAGCTTTTCAACATCCATGTGCCCAGTTGCCAGAATCTCAACTTGGAATTTTTGTAACTAAAGCGCGGTCAGCGAGGGAAAGGTCACTTCGACCCAGTGGTGCAGATCAACTCAATGAATATCGCGAACAGTAGCACATGAATTAAGATGACTCATAATCATGATGCGCGTGTATACATGCGAGAAGGATTCGTACCCATCTTGTCGTCTCCATCCATGGTGCTACTTAGTCGCGGCTACGCACGGCCCTGCATACTTATCTTCTTAGCGCTCCCGCAACCCCCCACACCCAAGTATCCACCGACGTGTTCCCCATTAATACTTGTCAGCATCCGACACTCCGGGAATGCGATGAGGACCTGCTTTGGGTCTCTCTCCGACCCAGAAGATGCGCCGTCCACCGGAAGCTCACTACAGCTTTTCGATACCCTCGATTCACGATGACACAACGCTCGATTGTCGCATATATCAACCTGATGCCCTACTGCGGCCGGACAACTCGGATGATATAGCGAAATGGACCAGGAAAGGGATAGTCATGGCACACCCATACGCACCTATGGGCGGAAGCTTTGATGATCGCATAGTTGGGATCGTGATTGACGAGTTCTTGAATGCTGGCTTCATCGTGGGCGTATTCAATTTCCGGTAAGATCCTTGCACGCGGACCCCGAGCATACAGCCATTGACTCACTTGTCATAGAGGAGCACACGGGTCCAAAGGACGGACGAGCTGGACAGGGAAACCCGAACTGGACGACTACATTTCTTTCGCAGCATTCTTCATGCACTACATTTCTAATCTCCAGCCTTCTTTACCACATAATCTCTTAGCATCGGAGCAATCCCCATTGTCCCCCAACTTTAGTGAATCAGCGCCAGTTCAGAGCGACGTTTGCCCTCTAGTCGTGCTGGGAGGCTACTCTTACGGATCCCTCATTCTTCGCAATCTGCCACCTGTGCCAACCATTCTGCAGCCATTTGCTGTCCCACTGGAAGGCTCAGCAGCTGAAGAAATTGTACTTCGTGCCGGCAAATTGGCAGATCAAAGCAACATGGAATGGGTCGCGCTGGCTAGAGATGAAACCCGAGCTAGGAGGAAGAACAGAGCAAAGCACAACACACGCCCTTCGATCACAATGGGCGGTGAAGAGACCAGTCCGGGCAAGAGGAGAAGCAGTAGAGAAGTGAGACGAAGTCTGGAGGGGAGCTCTCGCCTAGAAATACGTACACGGTTAAGGAGCCTAAGCCACAGAAGGCGTGACAATGCCGAGGCCACGACGCCGACGAAGGTGGAAAACACAAATTTTACAGTGCCTGACGTCCGATATCTTCTCATCTCGCCACTGACGCCGCCTTTGTCTTCGATAGCCGCCCCAGCTCTAATGCACAAGTTTTGGAGTAGGTCCAAGGATGATCACCAGGAGACGGTTGGCAAGCACGTGACACTGGCCATTTATGGGGACCAGGATATCTTTGCATCTGCCAAGAAGCTCCGCGACTGGGCTGAGCAGCTAAAAGCTAGTCCTGGATCGCGGTTTCGTAGTGTGGAGGTTGCAGGTGCGGGTCACTTTTGGGTAGAGCAGGGTGTGGAAGAGAAGTTGAGAGTAGCCATGAGGGAATGGATTGTGGATATGTAAAACGTACAGCATGAATCAAATTACGTATTTGATAACACCACTACTGCTGTCTACAATCAAGAGTTTCTTGACCAGTAGCATCCGTCGAAGAGCTGGACGCACATGTCGACCACAACCGCTCCAGAATCGATAAGAATATCCGATTATTGAAGAACGATTCAGCATCAAAACTGATTCTTTTCCAATTTCTGAACTGTAAAAAGGAGTTTCTAAGTTTCAGTGCCGAAGAAGCTTTCTTGAAGTCTTCTCCTTGATTGACTCCTGCGAATATCCGAGCCAATTCCTGTATCTAACCACTTCAGATAAACCATATCAGCCAATATACACAATTATATATAAATTAACACGATAAGAATCGATGCCTAAAATATCCCAGTCACACAACCTGGACCCGACTGTCAATTGACGCGATAACCCGGATTCACTCAGCAACCCAATTCCTAGTGGTGTGAAACCTCCCATTCCTGAATGTCTTTGTGCGACACTCCCAATATCCTCTCTCGCCTGTGAGCTTCCTCTCACTAGTGACTCTCACCAGAGGATATCGGACTTCATGTGGGTTGACCTTGGGGCGCTTTGGTCTACGCTCGGGACTCGGAGGTCGCTCTTTCTTTGTACTACAAAGAGTCAGTATACACACACGAGAGACTGACCAAACAAATGTGGATTTACTCATGAGGAGATGAAATTTATTTTTGGCTCGATGATGCGTAGTTGCGATGTGCCGAGTTCCATTTGATGGTGATTCCCACTCTGTGTTAAGTGATGCATGGTTGTGACGGGTTTGCTTCTATGGCCTGTGTGAGAAAAGTGGGAGGGAAGATTGTTTGTTTAGATTTCTGAGTGATATGGAGTATGTAGTATGCACTCTAGGCTTCATCTGGTAGGCACTGCTGCACCGGCGGTGACGTCTGCAATATCTGAGAACTGCCCTTTCCAAAAGAGAGTGCCGTGCACAAACTTGCACTATCGCCGAGACGTCTACAAACAACTCAAATCAATTGTTTTGTAGCTCAATGTCACAATGCAAACTTAGCGAAGGTACCAGGGCCGACACTAACGGGCATCATCGATTTGTGTTAGGTAGAACGTGGTTTGGAGCAAGGCCCTTTTAGCGGACATCGAGAATGATGTTGCGAGCGAGGAGGAAGGCGAGGGGAGGAACGACGACGACAACAACAACAACAACAACAACGTGAAGCAGCGTGAGATGGCAACAGCAGTAGTGACGATTGTCAAGAACTAATTGCAAGAAGAAGGGTGATCCTTCAAACTCCGAGAGGAGCTCTATCATGCGCTACCAAGCTTAGTGTAGTAATTTGTGTGAGCGGCAATTTCTACATTACTTACTAGGGCACGGTCCGTTACAACAACGGTAGCGGTCAGGTAGCGCAACGAAGAATGGACACGAAGACTTCTGTGAAAACCCACTCTCTGTTTCTTTTTGTCATAATGGATAGATAGAAATGGGCACCTGACACATATCTAATTATGGAGGGTCTAGTAAAGGTTACAGTTGTGCGTCTTATTTCAACACATTAGGATATAGGACACTATTGCAGCTTTAGCGACATATTACGATCGGTCCCTAGAGGAATTTTCAAGTTGATGACGTAGCCATAGCAGATATATAGCAGATATAGGGTCTGGATGCAGCAATGGGCCAAGTGGTTCATGATGGGTTCGGGGTCGTGGTTTCGGTTGGCGTGGTGCATGAGGCGTACGTCAGCAGTCACAGCCACACCAGAAGCAGCCACGCCACGCGTCCTCGACGCATTTGAGGTCCCTACCATAGCGCCGTTCCTCTCCCATCGTGCCGCAACGCGTGTGCCCCTTGAAATATTACCAATTACCCGTATTTTTAGAAGCCACTCCGTATGTACCACAACATGTTGGCCTGATAGTGTTTGGACTCACCCGGCCGAGCCTATCGCCATGCACACCGTCCACGACTTCATATCAGCACTTCGTCCACCACCCAATCCGGAAAGATCGGCCTGGGTCCATGCCTTGACTAAACTTTTATTTCGGCCATATCTAAGCATAGCGCCCGCAAACAGGAGACGTCGCCACCATGCAGCGACCCAGGACATCTTCGCAATTGTCGCCAGGCCACAACTCCTTCAGGTACCGCCCCTTGAGTCACGCGGATGGCGAGGACTTTCGCATTCTGTGTCTCTATCCCGGCACGCTTGACGACCCAATTCGGTGTGACCTTCTCCATTCAAGTCTCGACTCCGACATTGAGTACGAAGCACTTTCCTACAGCTGGGCAACCGAAGATGGAGACGACAGCCTCTCTCAGCGCATTGGCTGCGCATATGTAGGCGATGAAGACAGTGCGGAATTCTCGGTGACCTCAAACTGTGCTTCTGCACTGCGCAGGTTGAGACTACCCTCTCAGGAGAGATTCTTGTGGATCGATGCCATTTCTATTAACCATGACAATATCGAAGAGCGAAATCACCAGGCCGGCCTCATGGCCGACATATATGCTGGGGCCTCGCAGGTCCTGGTGTACCTCGGAGAAGAAGACCTCGGCTTCGCATCCAGGAGCCTATGGCTGGACAGCGAGAGACGCCAATCAGCCCTGACAAAGCTTTTTGCAAAGAGATGGGTTTCCAGAGCATGGGTGATTCAGGAGGTGGCACTCGCACGAAAACTCATGATGATCATGGGAGACGCATCATGTGCTATGGATGCTAACCTGATGAGCCGGATCCGCGGGCGAGCAAAGATTTCACGACTACAAGTTCCTGGCCCGCTAGCTTGGGATCCTTTGGCTAGCGCCCCGACAAGAGATCTCCTCACATTGCTACTCTTATCACGACATTCCAGCTCTACAGATCCAAGAGACAAAGTATACAGCCTGCTGGGACTAGTTAGCGAACGCCTGCAAAGCCTCATCACTATCGACTATTCTCAAAGCATCGAGGAGGTCTTGGTGCGTACGGCTGCAGCCATCATCACCTGCCGAGAGGACTTTGAGCTTCTGGCATATGCATCATTATCTCTCGGGCCTCGGCATACAGAAAAGGGGTTACCGACTTGGGTGCCGGACTGGATAGAGCATCAAGGCGACATGACGCTACGTCCTCAATTCCAAGAAACTAGGATAGGCCCCTGGCGGTCTCTCGAAAAGCTATCCGGAAGTTCTTCTAGCACTGCAGAACTAGCCAAGATGGATTGGACAACAATAGTTGACATACCTTCGAGGTGGCCCACTGATCCTTATTTGACACCATCTATCACCGTCCGTGCACATTGTCTTGCAACTATTGACAACACGACAAAAGAAGGATATGGCCCGTCAGCACGATGGCTAGAAGGTCAAACCTTTGGTCGCGATCTAATGGCTTTGATAGGCAGCGGGTCAAATCGAACAAGTCTCGATCCAAGAACATGGCCTGCACAATACAACTGGCTACTCGATCCGTCATACACTCGCTCTATATCTTCTATTATGCAAAGTAATACCCAGTCTGCAATGGGACCCCCTGAGAGTATCTACCGGACCGCAATACAGCATTTCTGTGCCGAACTAGAAACACAGGGCAAAAACCAGTACATTTTCCGAGCAGGCATGCTTCCAGCAGTAACAAGCCACAATTTTGTCGAAGGCGACAGCGTATGGGCCGTAGATGGCTGCAGGATCCCTCTTATTCTGAGGAGGACGCGTGATTCCGAGGGTTACCGAATCGTAGGCAACTGCCATATCTTCGCACTCTCACACATGGACTGCTGGTCTACGTCAGGAACGGGGCTCGAGCAACGGTGGAGTTTTGACCCCTTTCGTCACATGGATGCGCCAGGCACGCAAACAATAAAGATTGTGTGATTGTTTAGAGAAACTGTTATGATGGCTTGTTCAAGACCTTTTTGCTTTTACCCTGTGAAGTCGATTATTACCTTCTTGTTCGAGCACGTACTGCCTTTGTTTCCAACCGTGCATATTTCATCTGCATATTGTCTCCTCTACTAGCCTTGTTTAATTCAGTTCACTCATTCTTCTACCAACAACATTTCATATGAGCGAGTTTGCTAACAAGACGTGTTGAAATAGAAGATTCATCAGACAAACCGCTTTGTTTCTCGCCCAGTACACTATCATAGCATCAGCATCGTTCCAAGCGACTCGACAAGTTCCATCATCTGCCAGCAGCGAGAAATAATAAAAGGAGTTAAGAAATATAAATCCAGAGAAGCCCTCAATGTCATATCAACCCGCAAAAATCAATTAAGAACGTCAATATATACACTTAAAACCCCCCCACTCACCCACTCTTCTTCCCCCTCCACCTCTCCAAAAACCTCCCCACAGTCCTCATCTCCCACAAATGCGCCTCACGCATAAACTGCGGTTCCTTCTCCACATCCCCAATCCCCTGGCCATCCCACATATGCCCCCCATCGACAATCAGATAACTCGGATAATCATCACTGCTGATCCTTACCCCATCCAGCAATGTAGAATGGTAGCACTGATCGAGCCACACGTCTGCCGCGCCATCAATAAACGCCAGGTTCTTAACGCGCATGTTGGAGGAGCCGTAGACGTTGTTGTACTGGATTTCCGGGAGAGCGGGGATGCGCGAGTGGGATCCTGGGGGGAAGGATTGGTTGCACCAGGCTTGGTTGTAGGAGATGTCGAGGACGCGGGAGATGAGGGAGGGACCGGTGCGGGGCGCGGTTTGGTAAGAGGCGATTTCCGTACATGTGGAGTAGAGGTAGGAGCGGGTGTTTGTGTTTGTGGGGTCGGCGTAGAAAGTCGCGTTTTGGGTGCTGAAGCAGCCGTCGTCTGTGCTGTTGATGCGGCCGGTGGTGCAGAGGGGGAGGACGACGGTTTTTATGTAGGCCGCGTAGTTGCCGAGGCCGGTCCAAGGCTCGCCGTTGGAGTGGGCGGAGAGGGCTGTGTCGGTGGCGAGTTGGGAGGCTGGGGGGTTGGGGTTTGTGATATTTGAGCAAAAGTGCCAGAAGTCGTCGGAGCCATCACGGGGGAACCAGTTGAGCTCTTGCCAGGTGTTTGTTGGATAGGATATGGGACCGCCGAGGGGAAAGGCGATGGTTGAGGCGAAGTCCTGGAGACTGGAGAGGGAGCCGAGGCCGAAGATGTCTTTGAGTTGTTGGATGGCGGCTGTGTTGCCGCTCTCGATTAGGGCGTCCATCTTGTCGATTATGGAGATGATGCGGGAAATGCAGTCTGAAGGGCCAAACTTCATCAGTGGCTTGTACCAGTTGGGATATTCGAGTTGGACCGTGATGGTGGCACTACTACCGATACCGCCGGCAAAGATGTCGTTGTACATTTTCATCGTGAAGGCTACCTGTGAGCCGGCAAGAGAGCCACCGTACATGACCCATGGTGTATCGGGACTGCTCAGGTCCGCATCAACGCCTGGAAACTTGACGTGCTGTCTAAAGTACTCATTGTCGGCAATAGCTACCATTCATTAGTCTGTCATCATAAAACAAAAGATACCAGACTCTCCACTTACTCTGCTCAGTAGTCAAAAATCTCAATTCATCCGTGGTAGTCGTGTTGTATGGGAAACTGTACCCATAATACCGATTCTCAAGCACAACACCAAGCCCATTGAACTTTTTCATCAAAATCTGTATAACTAGAGTCACATATTGTTAGCCCCTCAACTGTACACATCTATACCCTCGTTTGAATGCATATCAATAACTCACTTCCCGTCTGTAAATTCTCAAGCTGCCACTCCCCCCACGTCTCTCCGCCGAGATACAAGAAAACCGGTCCACCAGGCTTATAATACGACTTGTCGAAAACTTGAAGATACACGCAACGTCAGCTCATATATCTCATTTTCGTCAGACAATGTAAAATACTTACAGTATCTCTGTTTAAACGTCTTATTCGTATGCGGTACATAGCGATCGCTATGCGGGAAATGATCAATCTGCAGTATCCCCAAAAGTCAACATAAAATTATCCTTTTCTCTTCTTCTCTAATATCACGCAAAGAAGAGTCGCCAGTACTGCATGTAAGATGGAAAACATACCGGCTGATCAATCGTATGCGCATCATACGCCCACTGCCTCTTCCCAAGCCGGTCCTTCACCGGCGCAGACGCAGGTGTTCTCGCACACGCCAGAGCCGCCAGGCTACTCGTAAGTAGCGCCAGCAGTTGCACTCTCATGTTTTCTTTTTTCGTTTCTTCCACCGTTAATCGATCGCGTTTGAATACAACAAAAAATCCTCAAACTCTGATCGTACGATCCATTTTCCAGAAACCCTGGAAAGGAAGGAAGTAAGGAGCCAAGGAAAATAAGCTTATAGATGTGCCCAGTCGCTTGGCTTTATGTATACACTACACACATTCATACCATACAAACGAGCCATTTATTCTTCTCTCAATAGGGCGGGATCACTGGAACCTTTTTTTTACAATTCAAGTATTTTGCGGTGAGAACACGAGGGCAGAGCGAGTACGGTGGCCCGAGACATGCTTGTAGTTGAGCAAATGTAAGTATAGGGCTTACTGTGCTTTGACTGTATTACATACTTATTGATTGATGGTTCGGAGAAATACCGATTCAGCCTGCTAGCTGGGGGATGTGCAAATTACCGAGAGATCCCTTTTACGATGGATGACGTAATCGAGTTTTCGGGGTGGTCTTGAGTTATACAGTGCTGGATAGAATTGTTAACTTGCTGATATTTTAATAGGTGTTTTGAGTAATGAAGCCCGGATGATTCTATGATAACAAGATAGTACAGAGTTACCTTTGCTGTCTTCGTACCTGATGTCACGCCGCCACCATGTCAATCAACTATCTTCTTCGACGGCCTGACTTACAATTCTGCACGCTCATACGCAGCATCAGTCGCAACCATCTGCGCAATATTTTCATCACCATCAACCCCGATCCCGCTCCCATCATTCCCTCTGACCCTTTCTATAAACCCCTCCAGCATATACCGATATGTAGTCCACCAATCCTATCCCTTGACATATCCCTTACCAGCCTGCTCCACATATACACCTTCAACCTCCTTACCTCTTTCGTCTCCCCAACAACCTCGCTCAACCCCACCTTCCTCACCGTAGTAACCATCTCAACACCAACCCGATGCCCCACATGCGGTCCCATGAAATTCCACAAGACATCCGTCTTGCACCTCGCCGTCTCCCCGTCTAGCGCCTGACTCCGCAACCACACATGCACACTCAACACCACATACCGGAAACTAGTCCAGCAATCCGTAAGCCACAGAAACCCGTATCCTCCCCCTTAGGCCTCCCCCCCCTCCAAATCCCCACAAAATAGCTCAGTCCCACCATCAGCAAACGCATACACAACCTGCACAGCCTACCCACAACACCGATCACAACACCGATCAAACAGCGAAGCGGACACAAGCTTCCTAGTTCACAGCCCCCCCAACATCCAAAAACCACACGCTGCGGAGGGGCTGACGAAAAATAAACGTAATAGCCTCGCTGCATGGTGCAGCACCCGACACCTTTCCCCGCGAATTTCAAAAAGCTGAAGCCCGGATGTCGTGGCCGGGGAAGAAGCCGGCTGTGAGGGACTGCGGCGCGGGCCTCGGTGTGCTCGATGTGTATGTGGCGTCGAATTGGGAGAAGGGAAAGAGGTGCCAGGTGGGGGGGATTTGAGGCGGTAGTGGCTTGCGTCTAGTAGGACGAGTTGCATGGGGGCTGGTTCAGGATGGCGTGATGGGATAGCAATGGTGAGCGTGCTTCTTGGGGGCGTTGGTGATGGATGGGTTTTTCCGAGGAGAATATGTGTACATGGCTTTTGAGGGCTGAGCGATCTGGGGCGTAGTGGAGTCTGTTTGCGAGGCGGCGGCGGCGGCGGCGGCGGCGGGAGTTGGATATGCACTCGGTTGATCGGTAGGTGATGAGAGCTGTTTTGGGATTCGTAGTGAGTCTTGCAATATGATTGATTGGATTTCTTCACATACATTTCTTGCACGCGAAAAAGGACGCTCAACTCACCCTCGTGACTATCATGCACAATGTGCATATCCTATCGTTTCGCATATGCCTCCGCCTCTGCCTTGCCTTTGTCTCGCACTACCACTGCAACGACGAGTACATCGGCATAGGATCATGTGGGGATAGTGTAATCAGCGCCGTGGGACCATTTGCTCGACAAATGCAGGTTAGGTCTAGCTCATTACCTCCTCTTCGTGAAGATCTATCGCATGGCGACAAATGAGAGAGATATGTGATCATGCACGCGATTTTCGCTGCACCAAGAATACCAAAGCGAAGGGCATCATGCTTCTTCGCCACGGGCTTGCGGCCAGCAGCCCATTCGCCAAACCCAGCGAGCGAGCTGAGCCAGTCAACGACTATCATGATATGTATGTAGATAAGAAAATATTTTGGCGAGTAGGATGGAAGAGAAGATGCGGGTTTTATCAGACTGGCGCGGTACAATGACGACAATGGGAGAGATAGTGTTGCACGCCTAGATGTCGCCATGGAGCGGGGAAGTTTGGTGAAATCGTGGAGGCAGCGCTCGTCCCTCAAACCGCCATGATACCTGGGGACACGGAGAGAGAGATGGCATACTGGCAGATGCCAGCTATACCCAGGCACATCTTCCACCTGACCCAAGGACTTGTCCTGAACACTCTCTCTCCTCGTATCCAGTCTAAACACTTTACTTACTTGCCAACTCGTACAGTCGACGCTTGTGCCTTGAATGGCGCTCTCAAAGGAAGAATGCATTAACCACGATAGTTTAGCTCGAGACAAGACCAAGCCAGCGGTTCACTCCATATCAGGGAACCATTCCAAGGCATTGTCAAGAGTCAGATGGGTGGTCAGCGTGTCAAGTCAGCCATGGTAACCAGCGTGCCGGTAAGCAGCCACATAGTTCCTGCCTCCCCAAAGGTTCGTTCTTGCTCCACGAGGCGCTCGGGCTATCGCCGTCTTGGCATGGGACAAGGCAACAAGCTGCCATTCCTTTGTGTCGCTCTTTGTTCCGTCTTACGTGCATGCATGCGATACAGATAAAGTGCGTACATGTAGCGGAAGTTTGAAATGCAGCTGAGGTTCGGAAAGAGCCATATCAGGCTGAAGTGCTGGTATCAGATGCCGAATCTGGAGAGAGAGCTTACTGTACATACAGATATGCGACGTGTGACGGGGTTTCGGACCTGAGAAAAGATGGGGATCGGTTAGACGGAGCGGGACCATTATCAAACTCACCCCTTGTGCAAGAAATGTGTGCACATAGTTTAATGGCTAGGCGTTCTGGCTGACTTGCAGGTTTGATGGTGTATTGGAAGACGTGGCTATGCCGCGCTATATGGGCCAGAAATAGGTTCTTTGAGCAAGGAAGATCCCACGCTGCATTCATGTTCATATGCGAATTCGGCCCCCTATACCACCCCTTGCCAGGACAAATGTCGGATACATGGACATGGACATGTATGTAAAGTACATATTGTATGTACAGGACATGTGCCTGCATCCACCAGTGGGACCTAGAGTGTGGCAGCCACGACTAGAGTGGTTACACGACCTGGTTCGCCCGCGGATGGTGTGATATGCTGGGAGTGGTGCAAGCCTCGCCGTGTTGGGAAACCACTTTTTTGGGGGTGGCTAATCCAGGGTGGATTCAACAACCGAGGCATGAATCCTAGGGTGGGCCATTGTAGTCCGCTTTGGGATATGGGTTTGCGGTCGCTTAGCCCAGGAGTGTACTTAATGTCCGAAGGAAACGGAGTTTAGGTGGGGGAATAAGATGAGGCTGAGTGGCAAAGGGGAGGACGCGAATCATGGGTAGCGCAGGGCGGCCAGCAAGCAGGCGCGGGATGATGGTTGCTATTGTCAGCACGGCGACCGTGTTTCAGGGTTCAGCGAGCAAGGTGGAAAAAAGCACAGAGCGGCAGTGGCGGAAAAAGGGTGAGGTCACGGTCAGGACAGCCGGAGATGGGTGGCCGCGTTACCGCATCGGACGAGGCGCATGAACGGCAGGTTCAGGAGGCTGCAGTTTGATCGACAGGGTCCCACCGGCGTGCATTGTGTGGGAGATATTGATCCACGAATGCCTGGGTGCCTGCGAAACAGATGGCGCAAGCGATGTGCAAAAAGGATCGGATGCTTCATGTTGCACTTGGATCGCGCAGCTTGTCCCATTTGCGTGTGCTGAAGCACAAAGGTGACAAACCTTTGCGCCTTTAGTGGGTTACATGTGTGGTTGCTGTCCATGTCAATGCCGGTGGGAGGAAGTGCTCTGCAGCATGGTACATGGGCAGAATGGCAATGTCCGCACCGGTGAGGGTCGTCAACCGACGAGAAAAACCTTAAGTCTTCGCCGAGAGTATCGGCGACTGGGCCAATTATGACGAAAGTTGTTTGGGCTGGTACCCATGCGCCGTGGTTTGAAAGGTTGCGCATCACGCCAGCCAGTCACATGAGCAAAAATAGATGGCGATACGCAGCTTGTGTGATGACGGGTTCCTCGCTTGTGAAGGAAGCGGTGAGAGGAGGAGTAGTAGCAGTGGGCGCAAAGTTGAAGGCGGATCTTCCCTTTGCATTGGCCAATGGCAGGGCTGCAAACCACGGCCACTGTGGGATTTTTTGTAAAAACCGTCTGTCCAGTAGTGTGACGAGACCCGGCGATGTGGTTCTGGTCGACTAGACGACGGCCAAATCGTAACGGCGTCGGTGTTGAGACGGTGGCAGGCTGGGGTACACCGCTGGTAATGGGCGTGTCAATGAGTCAGAAGAGCGGCGGTTACGAGCAAATGACCGAAGGACGGGTGCGTCGAGCAAGATTTGGTTCTTGTCTGGGCAGACTGTCGGTGCGAAGAGAGCAGTTAGCGCGCGTGGAGACAGCAAAAAAAAAGGCATCATAGCAGGACTGCCACTAACGCATGGCGAGCAGGGGATCCACGATCTGCATGCAAAGAGGTGTACGATGTGGAAATACGGATATGAGTCAGATTGATCTGCCAGGGATGGAGAAAAGCAAAAAAGCCATGTGTGTGTGTGTGCAGGGAAGTAGGCAGCCATGGTGGAGATGGAGAGAGAGGGCAGAGGATTCAGCTGGATGCATGCACATGGGATGCGTGTGTGATTGTGTGCCTGGAGCAGCAGCATACTGACACACACACACACAAAGCACACGCGAGGGGAGTGGGTAGAGGCGTCAGACGATGGCGTAGCCCAAACGCCTCGTCTGGCTGCTTCAAGGATGGATTGACGTCTGACATTGCGCATCTTGTTCCTAGATTTGGAACCATGGGGGCGCACAGAGGACATGCAGGCTTACAACGTCGTGCTGCACCTTGCAGAGCCAATCGCTTAGCAGGCGCCCTCCCCCTCCGACTCTGCTACCTCCAACAATCAAATAATATGTGGGCCGAGAGAGGAATGGCGCATAGACGAAGCACAAATACATACACCACTCGGAAAAACCTGATTAAGACGAGGAAGGATTGACAAGCCCCAGCCGCACGCTCCCTGTGATTGCCCGACCACCAGCAGCCAACTGTGGCGTCGGCCCTCGCCCTCGCCCTCGCTCACTCGCTCGTCTCCCAATGGGCCAGGATAGCCGGGTTGCGGGTGTGTGACTTGGTGGTGTGCTCATTCCCAAGCACGAGTATCAAACGCAGTCAGGGTTGCCTTTCTCCGCCCGTGCTAAGACAACGTGGCTGAACGAGCGGGCCCCGTAGTCGGACACGGACGGGCAGACGGGCAGTAAGTAGAATAGAGCAAGGTCGAGTGTGTAGTAAGTAGAGTATGTAGCAAGTAAGCGTAGTAGCGCTGTCCCCGCTGCTTTGAGCCATTCACGTGGGTCGTCTGCAACCGCGGGATGCGCCACGGCTAATTACACAAGTATCATGACGAAGACGAACGGAGGAGAAAGGTTGGAGAGCGAGACGAGACGGGGCAGACAAAGGGTAGCGGCCAAAACTAGTACCACTACCGCACCACTCGGCACTTGGTCCGACTTGGATGTATCGGCGTGCAAAGCAGGTGGAGTACGCAGTAGTAAGTCAATCATGAGCGGTGAGATGGTGCAACGCTCGCAACCCGCCGTACGTCGTTTGAGTAACAACGGTCTCTGACTTAGCGGGGCCGTGATGCGTCGTTAGTAAGAATAGAGTCATCGAGGCGTAGATACTATAGCTGACGAGGGGAGGGGGGTGTGCATGCACATATGTCCGGGTATGCTTATTGGCTTTTGCAACTCGAACACGACCGTCGACCGACAAGGAGCGCCGACGCATCGTGGGTTTGCTACTGCTGCAACTGCAACTACAAGTGCATATGTACCGGGATATGAATTCTTCCAAGGCATACACCGGTCACGCGGAAGCTTTCGGTAGGGGCGGGTCAGGAACATGCAAAGGGCCAGCGTTGGCCTGACTAGACAAGCCCCCCGGTATTGGCTGCCTCTTGCACTTGTAAGGTAGACGTCACCAAACGGGCCACCACGCGCTTGTCATGTGGTGGTGGTGGTGTACGAGTACGTGTACACCATCTTGGATGCCTCCATGGCCTCGTCCCATGTGTGCATCTGCCTAACCGTCGACGAGCCGCTCCACTCGCTGCAGCGCTTGTACCCATACGTACAGTAGACAAGACACTTTCCATTGTTAGCCCCGCGGCCTTGGCGGATGGCGGACAGCCACAAAAAAATGTTGGTGGTGTGCACGGCAACTACCTAGCAGCCCGCGGCTCTCTCCCTCTCTCCAGTACCGATCCCCCCTTCGACCGACTGGCTGACGGGCTTTGGTTGCTTGCTAATGTTAGATGAAATGCTAATAATGATCATCATCGTCAGCCATCATGCAAGTGTCACACTGAGGCGCAATAGTAGAAAGGTATTATGAATAATAAGAAGGTGATCTTAGATCAGGTTATTAATGCTACAAATCAAGTATTTGTGGGTATTCCGCCAGGCTACTGTGGTGCCGTCTATGATTGCTAAAAACTCCAGAAGCGAGTGATGCATTGAGCACACAGCCAAAAATGTCCCAAGCGCCAACTAATGCATGCAAAAATCAAGTCGCTCAGTATTACAACGATTGTGGTGCGTGTGCCAGATAAGTCTAGTGGTAATGGTAAAATATAAAAAGAAAGGCGTCTATCGAGAAGATTCATTTCCATCCACTCGAGCCAGCGGAGTGTGTTGGGATGCAGGAGCGTAAAACAAGTCGAGGCTAGAGGCCCAAGACGGTCTTGTTGCCAAGACCAGTGTCGACGTTGCTATCCGAGGAGGATGCGTAAGAGTGCGTTTAACCGGATATCTCGTCAGGTAGTCAGGTGAGTGACAGGGGTGGGTTGTTGTCTCCGAAATCCAAGGCACAAAGTGCGTCGAGAAGAAGGTCGCGTCGTACTAGGAGGTGCCTGGCGTGGGAGTAGCATGCCAAGCAGCCGTGTGCGGGTTGAATCGGAGCCAGGTGGTGGTATTAGGCCATGTTTGGTGGTGGTCGAGGATGCACGCCATGGTGCGGTGCCTGTTGGCGCACTAAAGCCAGCAGACTAGTCCAGGACTGAACATGGGAGCGGGTGATTGACGATGCGCTCAGTTCTTCTTTGTGGGGATGGCTGGCAGAGGGCCGGTTGGTGGTGGGCCGGGGCATGGAGGAAGGTTCTGGGGAGCCATGATGTCGTTGCAGAGGGTAGCGGCCATTGTGTGTGTTTGGTGGTGGTGGGTGAGTGTTTGGTAGAGTTGGTAGAGTGGTTGGCGAGATGATTGGATGGATAGTAACCAAGGGACTAGTCGTCGAGTGGTGGTGGTAGTATGGTAGTGTAGTGGTAGCCGTGTATGATTGATGGTAGTGGTGTGCAGAGATGGAGATGGAGAGAGAGATATAAAACTCTTGCTGTGTGTGCTGTATTCGGCTCTGGATGATGAAACGAGCGTCGTGACAGTGGGGGCGCAAAGTATTTATGCTTGTGCTCAGATTGCAGAGGCCTAAAATGTCGGTCAGCTCTGTGCTTTGGCAGAGTGTGTAATGATGGGGGCACGGGCCAAGCGGTGAAAGAGGCGTTGGGCTGATGAGCAGGAAAGGGGTGGCTCCTGGCGTGTGCATGAGCTAAACCAGGCCGAAACATTGCCCATCCCGGTCCGTTAATGAGCAGGGGTGCGAGCAAACACGAACCTTTGCGTTACCGCTGGCCGTTTCATCAGCCTTGTGACTGTGTGAATTTGGCACTCGCCCAATCCCGTCACAGCAGTGTCGCCGCCCGCTGCCCTCGCTCTGCCTCGCTCTGCCCTCCCGCTCGGACAGCGCATCATCAATGGGGCCACACACACACCCACGACCCACGCCCATGATGATGCTGATGCCAATGATGATGAGAGCATGCCCGACCGGCCATACTCACACATTTCCCGACCACCAGCAGCAGCGCACACAGCGGACGGCGGACAGCGGACAGCCAACTGCGGCCACGGCGGGCGGTCAATTGCAACTGGCCAGTTTTGCGTCTGACATCACACGCTGCGACTGCGACGGGGCTAGTGCCAACGGCCGTGGCCACCGTGGGCAGGCAATGAAACGCCCTTCTCCTTTTCCCACCGCGCCCTGCCCACGACGACCCACGAGGCCTTCCGAGGCCGCCGTTCGGTGTATATGCACCACCGCTCCCTCACAAGACTGCCGTTTTGCCAAACCTTGACCGACATGGCGTGTCAGAACGCCGCCAGTCTGACACAGCTTCTGCCAGCCTTGGCCCGCTCAATTTGCGACGTCGCCCGTCGCCCATCTCGTCTGCCCACACACACGGTCCCCTCTGACTTGCAGCGCAACGCGCAACCACACGGCCTCCTAGCGCCCATGGCCACCTTCTCCCGTGCTTCTTCAAGCTTCGATCCAATTTCTCCCAAGAAGTCCCCTCCCCCTAGAATTTTCCGCTCCACTGCGGGCCTCGCGCTGCTGGCGGTCAATGAAAGCATGGCACGACGACATTCATGGTCCTGGTCCTGCTTCTGACCCTGGCCCGCTCAATCGCCCGTGCCTTTGCTGGCCGGGGTAATCATGTTTGTCATTGTGCGATAGCGCGCGAGGGTGCATGGCTGCATGTGGTATATGCTGTACGAGCACTTACTCACTAGTCGCGCTGTAGGATCTGTACATGGCTGCCTTTCATCATCGTCGGGTAGTCCTAGGCTGTCGGCAAGGCACACGCACGTAGTCAGGCTTATTTTTGTCCTGGAGCTTGCCCGCATTCGCACCACTCGTATCCTCCTGCAGCCCTCCCTTTGTCCAATGGCAGTTCGGCTGGGCCGGAAGCAGCGTGCAAGGCGAGCTGCAGCCACTCGGCCCCCATGTGGCCATTCGGCTGCCGCGGAGACCAGCACAGGAGGATGAATGGAGCTGTTGTGCTCGTCTTTTTCCTGCCTGGCGCGCCCTCCACGTGGTCCGACAGGGTTGCTGCCTGTGTGACCTCACGCAGGACCATGTTTTGATGAACATAGTTATTGTGCTAATATTGCAGCTTCATGCCTCAGCGTGCTGTAAATATAACTGTGCCGCGTGTGTGGCTTGCCAACTAAACTTGTACGCTGGCCTTGCCCTGTTTTACCCAAATCACGGTCACGGCCAATGTGATGGGAACCGTTCGCCTTGTCACCATTTCCCCTTCCCAATAACCATCGGTACCCTGGACGGGTTTGAGACTGAGACTAAGCAATGGGGCCTTGTGCAATGCCCGAGGCCATTCTGGGCGTGGGCGTGGGCACCAAGCGAGCAGATCTACAGGGGCAGCCATCGAGGTCCGAGCGCGCCCACCGCCCATCGCCCCAGGCCAAAATCCGAGAGCGCGAAGAGCGAGAAAGAGGGGAAAAAAACAAAGCAGCGCCCATGACGCCTTCGGCAGTTGGTTTACACGCACATCACCAACACAGGTCGTGCCGTTTCAGCGCGGTGGAGCGCAATTCGGACTCGCTGTTACAAGTGCCTGCAGCAACGTTGCGTCCGTAGTAAGACCATGGTTCGAGCAAAAAAGACGTTTGCATTTGTAACTGTCTCATCCACCGTCATCCATACTGTCCCGAGGACTCGGACAGTGCGGAGAGGGCGGAGCGGCGAAGAGGCGCCGAGCCATGTCATGATGTCGTGGGGACTATTGGCTGCGTATACCGTCGACCTCCCTAATACTGTATACACACACAAATAACCATATACGTATACGCGCCTGACGTCTTGATTTCGCTTTTCCTCCGACCTTTGCCCATTTTCTCACTGCAGTCCACCTCCTGGCTGCCAATAAGCCACGCGCCTATCATTTGCCTATCCCCATTGTCCTTCTCCGCGATCGACATGCGCCTCGGGCCAAAAAGGACTGTCAAACTGGCTCTGAACTCTATCCCTCGGCCACGCGTTCCTCTCCGCCGTTCACCTTCGTCCCTCAGTTGTGGCATTTTCGATTTCGATCCATCCAAGCTGACTACCACTACTCTGTTATTTCCCGCACTCGCTCCAAGCTGCTAATGCCTGACTGCCGACCATCTCCAGCCACACACAATGCCGTGGCTGCATGGCCTGTTCTGGATGGTCAGCCTTTTCCTGCTGCAGGTACGCGTCAAGCCTCGTCCGCCCCGCCACCCCACGGTCGTGGCTTGCGCTGCTCGTCGCGTCGTGAAACAAAGGCTCGACCACCAGCAAGCCCAGATCCGGCGAGGCCGAAGCGCCAATGACACGTCTGCTTTGTTGACACTAGACGAATAATCTCCAGACTGTGTAGTCGCACACTGCTACGTAGCAGGCTGAAGCCAGCACAATCCGAAGGCTGATTCCAGACCCAGCAACGGCCTGGTCCATGCCAAGACCATAGTTCTTCTTGAGGCTTGGACACCAGTCACGGTGACATTTGGCGCTTTTTGTGATGACATGCTAGACCACTCTGTAATCCTCTCTAGTGCACTGCACTGCAGCTAGCTCATCCACCGCCATTACAGCGCATACATACACATCATCTAAAATGCGCCCTTTTATCTCAACCACCGTGTTTCTCTTGCCTGGTGCCGCGTCTCAAGTACAGTATCCCCAATCAAACCTGATCATCAGCCACCCATCCTCGCTCATCGACATGCAGGGTTGCACAGGTGCACGGGCGTGCGATGCCAGCCAAGGTCGCGCAATAGCTGTGGCGCATAAGTATTCGGCCAGCCTAGGAAAACGGTTCGTTGCCTGGCGCAGCCTCTGATACGCACAGCTCGCTAGGCCGTCCGCGCGCCCGTCCAATGCAATGGTAAGCCCACGTGGAGTATGAAATGACATGAAGCCACCATCATCACGATTCGTCGGTGTGTGCTAGACTGCGTTTCTTCGGCAAAATATCTCGTATCTCACCCACACGCACATCAGCAGGTGTGCACTAATCTAGTCGTGCGCCGGCTTTACATTCTACACCGTCTATAGGGCGTCGTCGTCTTCATCTTGCTGTCCAGCTGTAGCTTGCGTCGAGACCCAGTTCTCGAGCATGGCCTGGCTCCCAGATGCTGCACCGCTTGCTGGCGCCGCATTTCGGGCGCCACGCCGCTTGACCACCAGACACAGAATACGCCCATAGATGCTAAATCCATCGTAGGACGTCCGGAGCCCGAGTTTCTTAGTCTCATCTCCTCGTCGACCCTCATCCTGGTCCTCCGCTGTATTTCCCGCAATGCTGGCTTGTTCGGAGACAAACAGGTCTGATGCCTCGCTATCGCTAGCCTCGCTGCACGGCGTAAGCACTTTTGGGCGCCATCTCAGAGTTTGTTTCCCTTCATGCATACCTGTGTTGCTTCTTCGCTGTCTTGACTTCGGGGATATCAAAAAGGTTAACTGCACCGCTGTCGCCCTCTTGCCTTATCGCGATTGGTTCTGCTGCATCTTCATTGATTACAACCGGCTGATCACTCGTCCTGGATGTTAGCCATCCCGTGAGTTTGCCCGAGTTGCTCTGAATGCGGGCCTTGTCTTTGAAGATCTTTTGCTTCGTGAGAACGGAGTGCCGGGATGATAGCTCCGTCAAGAAGATTGAAACTTCAAAGTCATCTGATAGCAGGTTAGCCATTGATTGGCACACGCCACTGTTAAACTTCTCATCTGCATCGTCGGCACTCCCGGCCATGCAGCTTACCTTGAATGACCACATCCTTGACTCCCTTCTTCTTTGCTTTAGCAGCACCCCGTCCCTTGCCTCTTTCGTTTTCCTCTCGGAGTTTGGGCAACACCAGCGGTTGCACTGCTTGGATGACGCGTGGCAGCGCTGGATCGTCGCGTTTCAGTAGCCATGCATCTGCATCGGCTGGCCGATCTAGATAGATGCGTACTTCGATGACCGAGTGCTTGGTGATTCGGAGATATCTTCGGAGTGGTGCCATGATCTCGACGTGTTTCAAGAATGGCAGTGGAGCATGTACATATGTAGAACGGTTAGCCTACAAGTCCGACAGCCCTATGGCATTAGACAATGATGCGTGTTCACGTGCAAGCGTTCCGACCCTAGTTCCGATCGGCATGCGCAAAAGTTGGTTGCAAGGACCGCTAAGGCGTTGATGAGCACAAGACACCCACCGCAACGCCGCACAAGCAATGGTGCTAGAACTCCACGTATGGGGTCCCGCATTTGGCCTCGCTTCGATAGAGGCCGAGTGCATAGCCACCATAGCATACTGCCACCGCGTCATTCCAGAGGGGGAATGGTCCTTGGTCGCAAGCCATAATCCAACAGTCGGAACGGCAGGTATAGGCACTGGTCCCCGATGGCAAGTTATCCGTTGTCTCACTCATTCCAGAAACACTACCGATTCTCTTTGATGACGGCGTTGCAACGGCATCGGGGTTCGAGGACATTGTCGCCTATCTTCGCAACTACCCCACAGTCGCCAACGACATAGATGCTGGCCTCTCAAGCACACAGCGGACTGACCGGACTGCGTAAGCAACTCACGCACTGACTGACATCAAGAAAGCATCTCACGCGACATAGGTTCGGCACCTTTCTCCAGGCTACAGCAACACCGCTCGTCGATCTCTCCCTCTACGTTTCCGCCGAGAACTACAACAAGACTACTTCGTCCGCATACACGGCTATTCTACCATGGTACGCAAACTATACGGTTCCGCCCAGACGGCGAGATCTGGCCCGGGTGAGGACGGCACACATGGGATTGAGCAGCCTGGACGTGGATACGTCGGCTGAGGAAGAGTTTGCGCCTGGCCGGGGAACTGCATCCTCGGAATACGAGGCAGCCAAACGGGCTGCTGGTATACCCACTGAGAGCCAGCCCAGGTCTCTAAACATAGGACGGGGCAGGGGTTTGGGTGGCCTTTTGGGTGGCCAGGTGTATGCTGCCCGCTTCAAACTTGACGCTCTTTCGGCCGAACTGCTGGACCCGTTGTCAGATCTACTGGGCAAGAACAAGTACCTGTCTAGGGGAGATCAGCCCTCGAGTTTGGACTGCTTGGCCTTCGGGTACCTGTCTCTTCTCATCTACCCCCCGGTACCCCAGGCTTGGCTCAGGGAGACGATCCGGACAAAGTACCCGCGTATAGGAGCATACATTCACAGATTACATAGAGATCTTTTTCACGAGAAGGAGGTCAGCCCTGCTGACATCTGGGCTGTCTCAACCGGCAAATCCAACACTGCAACCAGCACGACACTGCCGTGGACGACAAAACCAGCAAGTTTCGCGACAAGTGCCGTTGCCTGCACAAAGGAGATTTTGGGAAACCTGCCCGGCATTGCCAAATTGTCGCAAAAACGTACCATCGTCACGTCAGAGCCCATGGTAGTTTCAAAACGTACTCGGTCAGAGCTACCATCTCCATTGTTTCTCAGCAGTGTGTTTGGTGTTGCTACAGCAGCTGTAGTAGGTCTTGCGTTACTGGCCATACATCATCGCCGGTCGCCACGAGAGGGCGAGTTGATTTTTTGGGCACTGCACCCGACCAATGGATTGGGTGAGGCTGGTAGCATTCTTAGTGTCTTTGCGAATCAGCTGCACGACGGAGCAATGCAAGGCCACTTTTAGACAATCTGATACCCCATTCCAAGTTATGTACATACATTGCATCCTGGCTGTAGCATGAAACTATATTTGTGTAGTGACAAATGATTCAACTTGGACTGCTTCACTCACTTGAGCGCGTTTGTAATTGGCGTGCAGCCCCTGACTAGACACACTAAGTTACACTTGGTAGTGCTAGAGGCAAGTTGTTTGTTGGTAGCGTGGAAATGGTGGCGCCTACGCAATGCCGGCCAGAGGCACACAATAACGTCATATATGTCGGCAAGCAAGACTATGACCACTGGCGCCATTGACATCCGGCACAGCCTGTGCTAGCACGCGGAAGCAGGGCAAAAGCTGCCTGACTATGTGCAATGATTCCGGTGTATGTGCAGGCAGCTCGAGATGCTCAGGATAACAGAGGGAAGATGCGGGCAAGGAGCAGCAGCTCGGTTATGCAGGTGGATGTATAATGCTAGCCAGGGGCAGTAGATTGCTAATGTGGAAGTGTGGAGGATGTGCAATGATGTGAGCGAGGATGGCGGACGAGCCCGAGGACTAGAGTATGTACGATCACCCCTCCGCGTGGGCCGGCAGCCACAGCTACGTCATTCATACTGGTCGAACAAAACCGCGGCCTAACCACGATCCATTTGCGCACTGCACTCCACTCCAGCAACAACATCACACCACAACCCACTGTGCTTGAACCCACCGCAAACCCCGCAAACGACACTCGCAAGACAAGATGCACCGAACATACAGCATGCGCCAGTCCCGCGCGCCTACGGCGTCGCAGATCCAGAACCCTCCGCCTCCCGCCTCCTCGACCAAGAGTGGGCGCTTCTTTGGCAAGGCCAATATCGGTACGTTTTCAAAGGATCACTTTTCGAGTTCGTCGTCTTCTTTGTCGTGTTTGGCGCAACATGCGCAAAAGCGCTACGCTGCGCTCAGAAGTGCCACCATGTTTCAGCGTCATGGGCTACCGGATTGCCTATTCTTTATTCTTACATGCTTCATGATATTGAATTGTAGCTAATTACCATAATCGAATTCAGGCCACACCTTCCGGCACAAGTCTGCCGGCGCCTTCGGTCCCGATCTTGCCAAGAAGCTCTCACAACTCGTCAAGATGGAGAAGAACGTTATGCGCAGCATGGAGCTGGTTTCAAGGGAG